CCGGTTCGAACATATCCTCTTTCATATCCATATCTCGCAGATCAAGATTCTTCGATTACATACCTATCGGCAGTAGGAGATCCTGTTCCTACTCGAGAGCTTGTAGTTGCGGATCCTACTTATCTCTAGGGTGGAGTTGATCCCACGTAAAGTTCCCCCAATTCCTCCTCATCCTTATCCTTCCAGAGCCTATAACCCGATTTCATAGTGTATTCCCCTGTGTTTTCTAAACTCCAAACCTTCTCATCCTCACATGGTTGGCGAGGAATAGGGATTTTTAGAATTTGTTTGCGGTCCGCAGGGCAAAAATGCGTCTGTAATAGGTTTTGATTCCAGCTTCTGGTTTCCAAATCCATTAATTCTGCTACTGAAGTGGTACTACCCACTCGTAAAACAGGGGATTGCACCTTGAAACCCTTACTAGTGGGTATCCACTTGTCCAGCCAGAGGTCGATACTGTTTCCGTTGCCAACTCTCCATCTAGCTCCCTTCTTAATCAAGCTTTTTGCCTCCATCAGACCCTTCCACACAAAACTTGAACACAATCCCTTCTCGGCCTCTAGTATATCCCTATATGGGTAATACTTGGCTTTCATCACCCTAGCCACCAGAGAATTAGGTTCCTTCATCAATCTCCAAAGTTGCTTCCCTAGAAGAGCCATATTGAAGCATTTTAGGTCTCTAAACCCCAAGCCTCCCTGTGATTTAGGTCTACTGATTTCCTCCCATCTTAACCAATGTGTCTTTTTCTCATCTTGCTGCTGTCCCCACCAGAAGTTGGTGATGAGCCTTTGGATTTCCTTCAGAACCCCTACTGGTATTAAAAAGATTGACATAGCATAGGTCCTATATAATTGATTACTGGTCCTATATGTGTGATACAACTAAACTGTCCAAACATTTCCAAGGAGATATTGGATAGACTAAATGGTGGCTATGCAAAGACCTCAACTAATTGTGATAGGATAAATTGCAAGTTTAGTCACTCAAATTACTAAAAAAAATTCACGTTTGTCACTAAAATTAGTTTATTCTATTAATGGTCATTGAAATTAGTTAAACAGTTCAAGTTTGATCACTCTCCATTAGTATTCGTTAACTTTTGCTGATGTGGCAGTCAACTCTGATAGTTGATCGTTAAATATGTGACATGGCAATTAAAAAATTATAATTTTTTGTTATAATTTCAATCTCATTATCACAAAAAATTAAAAACAATATAAAAATGATGAATGGAAAGAGAGTTATTGTTCTGCGGAGCAAAGTTGTACGTACATCGAATTGTTTTTTCCCCTGACCCCCACTCTTGCTCCCTTCTTTGTGCCTTCCCCGACGCCGACGTCGACAAGCTACCTCCCGTCGCCGCTTCTCTCCTTGCCGCTGCCCCTGCTCCCCGCTATTACCCAATTTTCGTCGCTTGTAATATAAGCTCAGCTACTGAGGAAAGGAAGAGTCTTTCTTCAAATGGTGCCTTGTGCATCTCTGAGAGGGCCGATCCTGTGATTAAGGGGTGCTTAGTCACTTGATTAAGCCCCTCCCAGCTCTTAGATCTGTACACACAAATATGACGGTTAAAAAGTGAGAAAAGATTTTTAATTACTAACAAGGATAATTTGGATATTATGAAAAAATTACGAAATATACAAACTGGACTTACAAATAGTACAAACCATACAAACATACAAACAATACAAACTAGAGCGACAAAAATAACAAAGCTTACAAACATTACCAAGAAACCGACAAATATTACAAATATAACAAAACTTACAAATATTACAAAACAACCGACAAACATTACAAACATACTAACAGTACAAAATGCCACTACTTACAATACAAAATAGTAAACTTGTATTACAAATCAATGAATACAAAGTCTACAAATCATAACATAAACGTTACAAAGTACAATAAATACAAATGAGTTATATAAACGTTACAAATATCATAGATAAAAATGAAAAATTAGAATGATAAATGATATAAATCGACTTTAAAAAAATTACAAAACAGACTTGCAAACATTACAAAATAGCCTAACAAACATAAAAAAACAGACAGTGTCGCCTGAGTAAATCTCTCTGCCGCCGAAAAATTTATCGCCGCCGGAAAATCTCTCCGCCATCGAAAAATTCATCGGTGACGGAATCTCTCTCTCTCTCTCTCTCTCTCTCTCTCTCTCTCTCTCTCTCTCTGAGAATTCCTCAGGATAAACCAACGCCACCCCAGGAAAAGTGCCCACGCCGGAGAAAGGGACCGCCGACGGGAAACAGATTGCAGGCTGTCAGCGACAGCGTATTTAATTAGGTGACTAAGGGACCCCCTTAGTCATCTTAGCCCCATCTCTGACGCCTCGGTGCGTCATTGCTTTGGATCATATTTGCCGACGGGGCTCTGAAGAATTTATGCCAAGTCCAATGCTAGCCCCCAAATTTGGGGATCTTCATCCCTAAATTTGGAGATTCTTCCCATTCTCATCATTTTTTATCCAATGCTACCATCTCTAAATTTGGGGATTTTCATTTTTTCTAGTAGTTCTTTACTTAAAAATGTACTTATGATCATCTTAATCAAATTTACTCATGTTAATTTTGATATACTTTGTCATCATTTTTTAATAAAAAATTTTCGATAGAATTTTTTTAAATTTCGATACCGAATTGTTTTTTATAAAAAATAATTGACCTAATTTTTCTTTACACACAATACTTGAAAATGATAAATGATTTCCTAATTTTTCATCATTAAAACACTAATTAAACTCTTAACCTTTAATTAAACCAGAAAAAATAAAAAAGATTGTGGCAAGCACAACTGCCAGCCCGAGTGATGTGTCGCACGCGCGCGGGAGAGCAGCTCTTCCGCAGGCGTGCGGCGCACCGCCCGAGCTGGCGGTTGTGCCCGCCACCACCCCTCCCAATCACCAAAAATGTAGGGATCGACATTCCCTTCACAAAAAATGAAGACCCAAATGGCGATTATCGCCATTAATAGAGATTTGGGCATATAAATGGCGACTCCATTGGAGTCAGCCTTAGTCCCGAAAATTGGGAGTCACGACTCTCTTTCTCCCACCCTCTCTTCACTGCTACTATTAGGAAATTTCCTTTTCAGTCTTATTCGCTGATTATTTTCTTGGATTTTCTATGGATCGATCTGTTTCAGGTTACCTCTATTTCTTGGTTGGGTGTTTATTTATTTTATCTTCTTGGATTTTCTATGGATTATCTACTGCTACTATTATGCATGCTAGATGAGCAAGTAGATATCAGCTTGTCTAATTTGTTTCTAAATGTTTTTTTGGCACTCTTCCTTGCTGAGATACTGAATTGGTAAGCCTCTATTCGGTTTTGGGTGGTCAATTTCGATGCGGATGTTTGCATGACGAGTCTCTTCCTACTCTCGGCCGGAAGAGCTTCAAAAGCGGGAGATGAATTTTCCGGCAACACCACCCTCAGTCCCCCACCATCACAGAGATGATGGTACTTTTCTTGGACCCAGATAGAGTGACCGGCTGGCCGGCGTCAAAGATAGTCCTGGGCACCTCTTTCGTAATATACGTTTTTATTTTTTATTTAATGTGATAATGAGGTGGAAATTATAACGGATTAAATTTTATTTTTTTAATAATTTTTTGATTATCACTACACATATTTAGCGATCAACTATCAGAGTTGACTGTCACATAAGTGAAAGTTAACGGAGAATGACCAAATTTGAACTGCTGAGCTAATTTTAGTGATCATTAATAGAATAAACTAATTTTAGTGGCAAATGTTTAAGTTTTTAGTAATTCCAGTGATCAAACTTGCAATTTACCCAATTGTGATGTGAATGTAAAGAAAAACTAGTTGTGATGTTGACAGATTGTATGAAGATGATCTAGAGATTCTTCGGAAGAAATACTATTTAAAATCTTTTTTTTTCATGACAAATTACCTTATGTTACGAGAGATTTATATTAAAATCTAATCATTTTATACAAGATGATCTAATTCTTGTGAATTCATCATTTGGTTCACCATACTTCTTGGATGATTAAAATATAGTGTTATTTTGCATCATCTCGCCAAAACATTCATATTTCTTCTCCATGGATGTCATGATTAGTTAAATTTGTCATCCTACTTTTTTTTTTGGTAGAATTTGAGATTCTAGTTTTGGGTAAAGTCCATTGGTGAGAATTTACCAGAAGGTATATAGAACTTAGAAATCAATGGCAATGGGTTTTCAAAATTTAAAAACATGAAACATAACCCTCTCGTTTGAATGATGAACAGAAATATCCCCACTAAATTTTGAATAATTCAGAGTGGTAATTTTCATGGAAGGAATGAAGACAATCGCAATTGTTTTCTGCAGGCCAGAGCGACAACAACTCATTATGGATCTCCATAATGATCAAAGAGGAGTCCAAAATGTTGACCCATAGGAAATGGGCTCCATTGCATAATGAGATCATATCCGATCGTAGATAGGTTTGTAATGGTTGATTCGGTCTACAACCAGATCGAATTGATCGAATTGAGATACAACCGGACAATAAACAAATAAAAATGGAGGATAAAAATCAGATCAAAAGTATGTTTGGTTCGTTTGGTCCAGTCTAAATTCAGTTTCGGTCTAAATTTTCTTCATACTTAAAACATTTCATAGGATCGAATCCGAATGGAAATACATTACATTCGACCAAATCCAGTCCAAATATTGATTCGGTCTACTGTGAACCGGATCTTTGCCCATCCCTACTCATTTACACTGGGTGAAGTTACGTTTTGTTATAATTAATAAATGTTATAATGTGTGTATTCATATATTGAGAAAACACTAGAAAGTGATAAGACGAGTGTTATTTGTCCTTCTACAAGATTTGAGTTCAGTCGTGAGGAATTGTTGTAGTTTGTTATTTTTAACTCTCCTCATTCTAAACTTTGACTTAAGCACTGCTCATATATGCCTCGCACTAACTCAAGACTTGACAATTTTTAGTACTTACTCGAAAATTAATATGAAATCTTTTTATTACTCACAATATAATAATGTGTGACATCAGTTGATTATACAATCGAAAAATGATAATTATTAAAGAAGTAATACGTATATAGAGAGAGCAAATTAATAATTAATAACACTGAGCAATGCCCTTAGATATTGGTAATATGCACCAACACCACCCCAAAGGGCTACAGTAATAAGGAGTGCATCCTCTTCTCGCACATTTCGCATTGCAGTCCTCAATCTTTTTGCATGGTTCGTTCCCCGCATTGGTCGACTCCAATGGTTTGACAGTTTCTCTTCCTTCCATCTCCCTCGCAAAACCTAAAATAACCATGCATAAAATAAAATCCTTTAAAACTCAATGAATATATTGTTCACAGAAAAACAAAAAAGATATTGTCCAAACTCACATGAGGAGACTGCAAGCAGCAACATGAAGAAGAACACTCCCAGTTGATGAGAGGTGGATCTCTGCATTTTGAGTTTCTGGGCTGTCAAAGAATGAACAATTTGGGGTTTTTTCTTCTTCCTTTTGTGCTACACTTTGGTTTTCACAATTGTACATATTCGATTGAGTTCTGTTTAAATACTAGCAGACCTTAGCCCTTACCTCTCTTATTCAGTGTTTCTAATAAAAATGGTAAATCGATAATCACTCATGGGAATAGACATCAATAGGTGCATGCAAGTCCCATTATAGAGGCCATTAACGGCAATAGTTTTCTTATATAATAGGTACGGAAAAAGTGAATTCAATCATTCCTAGAACTAGGAAAGCGATTTGTATGGTAAATGTTATCCTCAATTATGATTGTACAAAGCAATTTTCTATTGCAGATTAATGAACATATTTGGCTATATTAGATGGTCAAGTACAATTCACCTACAACTTTTATTATTCAGGTTAAAAAATACAATGCATAACTGCATAACTCTATTGGTAACAATTATTTACAAAATTGTCGTACCTATTCAAGGACTACACATAAATAGTAATTAGATATATATATAGATGAATTGCACAACTCCAGTTTATGCCATGGTCCATGAAATCATATCAGATATCGTACCGGAAAAGTTAACGGTATGATATTTTATGATAAATCTGTGGTATAATCATAGTTCAACCGTTAGACCGTTAAATACCGCCTACCAATTTAGCCTCCGATACTGGTATTTCGTGGTTGAATCGCCGGTATGGTACGGTTTCATGGACCATGGTTTATGCACATGTTCTTAACTCCTATAAGTAGAGGTGACAAATGTATTGGATTCATGAATTGGTAGATCTATAGATAAAATGGATTGGTGGATTGATCCATGGATCCAAATGACATTCAAGCCTTGGACCAATATGCAAAATTTGAAAATTTTAGGTACTAAAATGTCATAATAAGCCGTAGGGTTGTCAGCTTCAGGACGGGACTATAAGTCTGATGAAAATCCAGACACAGTATCTGTTCAAACCCGCGAGCGGCCAAGCGTGCTTGATGCCGATCAAGAGTGTCGTCTGGATGAAGTTTTGTGCGATAAACCCATTTGTTGGAAAGAATGTTGCAATTGGGGGCGGGGGAACCAAGTCCTAGGTGTAATTTCTGATTTGAGCAGAGACTTCGTCCGGCATCGCCAAGCACAGTGAGGGAGTTTGAGGGCATGCTTGACGGTGGTGGGTGTGTTGTCAATAGGGAGATGCAAGAGGAAGGTTTTGGGTTTTATATTGTCGGTTTTTATGCGTGTTACCATGGGGTGAGCAAAGCTGGTCGGATTGGTAATGGTGAGTGTGCGAGGGGAGGTGGTGAGTTTGGGTCGGGGAGGAAAAGGACGACGGGGAGGCAGGGGGTTGGGGTTCGAGGGGAGGACGAGACAGGGAAATGGGACGAGGAAGAGGATGATGGGTCAGGTTGAGCGGACAATTGGATTAGTTGAGGGCACGGGGGAGGGGGATGAAGGAGAGGGAACATTAGAGGGTGTAGGGGAATCACTAGGAATGGGAGAGAGAACAGGAGTGGTGGGCTTTGGTGGAATAGGATAATGCGGGGGGGGGGGGGGGGGGGGGGGGGACTGGAAGTGGGTTGATAATATTGTTGGGTAGAGAGGGGAGAGTAATGGGCAAGGAAGAGGATGGAGAGGCAGAGGGTGATTCGATGGGTGATACCTCGGTAAATTACAAAAATAGCACCCAGCCCACACAAATTTCAAAAATAGCACCTTTCATCTTAAAATGCACCTTATGTGCAAACCGCCACGAGGGAGTGGTCCCAGCTAGGGCAGCCCCAAAACCGCACTGTCAGCGTGCGGTCCGTGTTCCCGAGACGGCGGTCCCCAGCACCAGTAAATGAGGCGGCGATCCAACGGCTAACCGCACGCCAGCGCAGCGATCCGCGTCAGGGATCGAAGACCACGCGCCTGGCAAACGGTCAGTGCCTCGGACGCCATGAACCGCGCCCTCCTGGTGCAGAAAAATTACGGAACCACCCCTGGAGGGTGTGGTCTGAAAACTATAAATACCCCCCTCCCGCTCCTCATTTTTTCACACCACAACCCATTCTCCTCTCTCTCTCTCTCTCTCTCTCAAATTATTTCTCTATCCATCCCCCTCCGCTCCCAAAAGCCTAGGAAATTCCCAAAAGCCTAGGAAATAGTGGTATGTTGGTTGCGGCTAAGTCCGATCTGCCATCAGAAAACATTTCTTTGGATTTTCCTTCAAAACCCCTCGAATCTCTGGCCGACTTTCGCGAAAAAATGGACGAGTGGTTCCAAGAAGAGGGAACTTATTAAGATGAATTTCAAGCGGTACATACTCATTTACCAAATGTTGTTGTTATAACATTTTCAATTAATCTATGTACTAATGTTGTTGTTATTCTCTCGTAGGTTAGGGACGACGTGGATATATACAACCAACGATATTATGTTGATCAAGGGCCTAGTGATCCAACCGTGTTGTATGACCAACCCAACCATCGTTCAAGGGATGTTTGGAACGATCACGAGGTACATACAATTCTTCATTATTTCTCTTTCTTTTAATTTGTTAACGTACTTAGTAGAATATAAAATAAATTTGGTCATTTTTAATCGTATTGGTTGTTTTCAATAATTTAATCGAATACATAGCGCCACTTACTTAGACTCTTTATAAAGAGATGCATGCCTAAGGAAATGTGGTTTTGAGCGATTATCATGATCCTCCCATTCCTTGGGAAAATCGGGTTTTAAGCGATCCTCGGATCCTCCCATTTTTCTGTCAATAAGGCTGCGTTTCTAAGAAGATGTATACCTCTTCTAAGAGTTTTACGAGTGTTGCATTGAATTCAATTATTTAAAACAACCAATACGATTAAATTATTTAAAACAACCAATACAATTTATGTGTATGTGTACAGTTATAATTTTATTAATTTCAAATATTTGAATATTATACCTCTTCTAAGAGTCATATGATGGGAAAGATTGATGATGACCTTCACCTTGCTCTTGATACTGAAAGTAGGAATGAGGATCATGGTAACTTGGTAGGGATGATCTCCATATAATTTACCTCCACCATGGATACCAGATGTTTGCCCGTCTCTAGAATGACCTCCAACGCCTTCGACCGCCTCTGTGTAAACGAACATCTCGGCTTTGGAAAGATTATTGGACCTCAAGAATTCGAGCATGACATCTACTTCATCATGAGTGGTTATGAGATATTCCTCATGCCACAACGACCTGCCTTCTCTGTTTGGATATCGGTAAACCATACGATCAACTCTTCTAGTGTCATCCATGCAAGTAACGTTAGTACACATTTGATGGAGGTCATCAAGCATCGGTCTGGTAGCGACCTTTATTTTCTGAAAATTGCCACCAACGTAGGTTGCCCCCTTTCCGGTCTCTTCCGTGTAACCATTCCAACGTAACCCAAGCGTGAACTTTTGGAATGCCATCTGTAATAAAACCGTAATTCAGTTAAAATCATAAAAATCACTAATCACAATAAAAAGTAATACAAAATAAACTTATGAGTTAACGTTAATCGCAAAACAATAAAAAGTAGGTTGCTACAACAAAAAATTGAAGAAGAAGAAGAAGGAGAGGTGTGAAGAGAAGAGGTTTCCCGGGGCTGCCTTTTATAGGCTAAATCATCACTGAAAACCGCAGGGGGAGGGTGCGGTTTTCATCTGCCATGCAGCCCCACGTCTGTCAACCTGTATGGCCAACATGCTGGTTGTCGTGAAAATGGGGACGACACACAAACCGCAGGAGGGTGCGGTTTGTGTGTCGGCAAATGAAAACCGCACCCTGAGGATGCGGTTTATGTTAGAAAAAGCAAACCGCCTAGCCAAGAACCGCCTTGCCAGGTCAGCCTAAGAACCGCCTAAGAACCGCCTTGCCATGATGCGGTTCTGTTAGGTCAGAAAGCAAACCGCCTAGCCAAGATGCAGTTTAGTCCTGAAACTCAAACCCGCACCCTCAAGTTGCGGTTTATATGTAAACCGCACCTTGGCCGTGCGGTTTTGAAAAAAGGTGCTATTTTTTGGAATTTGTGTGGCCTGAGTGCTATTTTGTAATTTTTTTATGGTGCTATTTCTGGAAAAATCCCGAGGAATTTTTGTAGTTTTTTTTTAACTCTCCTCATTCTAAACTTTGACTTCAGCACTGCTCATATATACCTCGCACTAACTCAAGACTTGACAATTTGTAGTACTTACTCGAAAATTAATATGAAATCTTTTTATTACTCACAATATAATGTGTGACATCAGTTGATTATACAATCGAAAAATGATAATTATTAAAGAAGTAATACTTATATAGAGAGCAAATTAATAATTAATAACACTGAGCAATGCCCTTAGATATTGGTAATATGCACCAACACCACCCCAAAGGACTGCAGTAATAAGGAGTGCATCCTCTTCTCGCACATTTCGCATTGCAGTCCTCAATCTTTTTGCATGGCTCGTTCCCCGCATTGGTCGACTCCAATGGTTTGATAGTTTCTCTTCCTTCCATCTCCCTCGCAAAACCTACAATAACCATGCATAAAATAAAATCCTTTAGAACTCAATGAATATAGTGTTCACAGGAAAAACAAAAAAGATACTGTTCAAACTCACATGAGGAGACTGCAAGTAGCAACATGAAGAAGAACACTCCTAGTTGAGAGGTGGATCTCTGCATTTTGAGTTTTTGTGGTGTCAAATATTGAACAATTTGGGGGTTTTGTTTCTTCTTCCTTTTGTGCTACACTTTGGTTATCACAATTGTACAAATTCGATTGAGTTCTGTTGTTTAAATACTAGCAGACCTTACCTCTCTTATCCAGTGTTTCTAATAAAAATGGTAAATCGATAATCACTCATGGAAATAAGCATCAATAGGTGCAGATGTGCATGCAAGTCCCATTATAGAGGCCATTAACGACAGTTTACTTATATAATAGGTCCAGAAAAAGTGAATTCAATCATTCATAGAACGAGGAAAGCGATTTGTATGGTAAAGGTTATCCTTAATTATGATTGTATAAAGAAATTTTCAACTGCAGTTAATGAACATATTAGG